GATTACAGGTCTGGCTCGGTCTACGACCAGCCACTTTCCTCTTTTTGTCTTAAATCTGTTGCAGATATTTACAAATTGACTGTTGCATAGGCTAAATGAGAGAGCCCGATTTTTGTCATTTGTCACGTGTTTGCTCAAGTCTAACAGGCTGTGTTGAAGGTCTTTAGCCGTGTATGGCTAAAATAATGCATTTGTACATTAAACATAGTACTGATTTATTCTTGTTCAGCCTCCATGAACATTCAATTCCCCCATCCACACTCCCCTGCTGTCTATTGTGTTAGCCTGGATCTGGGGCTATCTGAATACCTGAACTATGACTATATCTGATTGGCTGCAGTCAGTCTTCAGCTGACAATTTTCAACTTGACAGCTTTATTTTAGAGCCACTAATCTATACATTTTCATGTTATGTATATTTTGTTAGTTACTTGGTAACTCCTTTTCATGGAAGGAAGCTACCCGCTCAATTTTTTTTAAAATGTGTTTTGGCGAAACTTAGGGTTATTCCTGCTTATGGTTCAATTTTACAAACTGAAACAGCTGTTAGGAGGTCTCCTTTTTAAAGTGCTCTGGTGGTTGTGTTTCCTGTTTGGTGGGAGGAACCATCTCTCTGCATGCCATCCTTGAAGTTTCCTGGAAAGTGAGTTATCGGGTAGTGAACACTGGTTTTCAAGAGCCACATAAAGTAATAAAAAAAAAAAAAACCATGTTAAACACAACCTTTTAAACTATACTTTTCACTGTATTGAAAGAATTTTGGTATTGAGGTTACCATTGCTGACATCTACTGAAAATACAAGTTTTTTGTCTGTCATACTGATCGAATTGCTTTAGTGTTTTCTAAGTCACTGTGAAGGAACAAGTTTGCCAAATAACAGTTATTTCCTTCATACTTCCAGATAAGTTATCTCTAAGTAAAAAGCCAGAGACAACTAAGACACTAGCCTTTTCAGAAGGTCCGCAAAAGGTTTCTTTTGCAGTAAAATCTAGATTGTCATTTTTTTTAGGTGGCAAATGTTTCCCTGGGGCATTACTAGAGGTGGTTTTGGGAGCAGATACGAATTGCCCAGTGAATGAATGTCTCCATTTTGTTATATGATTAACTTCAAATGCATTTTTGATGAAGAAGATGACCGTGAGCTAATGGGGTTGATTTACTAACCTTATAAACACACCACGAACGTGTATACACCTCTGCAGTGTGTTCCCTCCCAGCATGATCTATGGGTGGAATCTAAACACCTTTGTAATGTGTACACACCCAGCAGGTGTGTTGTGCAAAGCTCTGAAGGAATTCCAAGGTGATGTTGGGTAAATTAGCTCTATGTTGTGTTGCTTGCGTTGATGAATGCAAGGAATGTAAATGCATGAGCTAACCATTTTTGTCTAAACTGTGAAGCAGCATTATATATGCATCATGTGCATGATTTTTCCATATATGGCATTAGTGGAAATATGCTTTTAGAGACTTTTTGGTTGATAAATACGTTTTGCTGTGTGAAAATCACACACACCTGGTGTGTGTGTTTAGGTTAGTAAATCACCCCCAATGACTCAGCTCTGATGAGAAAGGATTCCCCAAATGTAAAAAGTCTCAGGAACAAGCCCTTTTCGAATGCTCATTTCCATTCAAGAGGGGTGAATGAGCAGTTTGATCCAAATAAAAGATGGATCTTAAGCAATTATATGGGAAACTAACCTTTTTAATCCACCACCAAGCTTCAATTACTTGTTTGTTTTGTGGAAGCTACTAGAGAATGGTTATCGGATTTTCGTTGGAGCTGATGTAAACAGCGGAGGAGACAGGGGCTCTGGACTGAAGGAAAATGGCTGCGAACAGGGGAGTTAGTAAAACTTGAGCAAAAAAAAAATATTGAAATGAATCTTAAAACAAAATTAAAAGCAGGATTTATAGATTAATTCACTTCAATAGATCCCGCGCCCAATGTGTATGTGCAGCAACACTGTATGTGCAGGTTGCACTGTGAACAAACACTGCCTGCCTAATGGCTGTGAAAGCTAACCAAATTAGACATTTAAAAAAAATATATATTAATGTATACATGTTTCCCAACAGTGTTTTTTGCACAAATCTTATGTGCTTACATAAAACTTAAACAGATAAATTGCTATAAACAAACATGTATAAATACAAGATTAAGGTGTACGTTTAATAAACTGTGAAAGAGTGTGATAAGCAGTGAGAAGGCTTTTCTCACCTTAGCAAAGTGAAAAGTCTAGAAAATGCTGTTTAATAACCCGAGATAAGTCAGGTAGGAACTGAAATATCTCACCTCTTCTCATCCTGGTGATAAGTACACAGAAAGTAATGGGAATGTACCTGTTTAATAAAGGGAGAAAAGTAGAGAACAGCTTTATCACGAGATAAGTATTGTGCAAAGTACCCTTGATTTAGCACCCTGTCAGACCTGGTGCTAAAGGCCTTTTTCTCGAGAAGCACTGAGCAAAGATACAGGAACCTCCTCCTCTGTCACTCAGTTCTTCTCTGTTTCCAGTAATAATTACATAAATAATATTTAATGAAATATTAATCCAATATCGAAATAATACATTTAAAAAAATAGAACTATATTTCATCAACAAAGAATATTTATGAATTAAATAATTAACCACCTGCTGTCAGGCTGTTGTAATTAAACGGCCGGGCAGCAGACAGAATGCGGGTGGGCGTTTTTAAATGTCCTAACCGACCCCGCTCGTGCCCGCCGCTCGTGGCCAGGCCGTGCTCACGAACGGGAAATTGGCTTTCAATGTAAACAAAGTTTTCTTTTCTCAGGTTATTAAACTGCCTCTGTGCAGCCGAGAAAAACAAAGAGATCTGCTGAGTAAAGTTAACTCGTGATAAAGCTAGTTTTATCACAGTTTCTTAAACGTACACCTAAATGTGTGACTGTTGTCGTCCAAAATTTATACCTCCTGTAGTGCACAAACAGCCCACAAAAAGTGCTTCAATCGTGCAAACAAACTTCACTCCATCCGCCAGTTCACTTAAACAGTGTCTTTACCTGTGTGAAATAATGACTGCCTCTCGCCTTGTTGTTTTAGAGCTCTCAAAGAGCAAGTTGTAAGCATGTGACTGAATGATAAAAGGAAAAAAAAGAATTATCAACCAATGGAAAGCCGTTCCATCGGTTGAGAGTAGAAAAAAAAGGGGAGAAACAAATGATTCATGGTCAGCCCTTAACGTGACCAACAGCTGGTGAGTGCAGATTTCACATGATTTAAATACAAGTAAAGGAAAAAAAGCACGGTGGGTCATTGAAAAAGAACACTGACAGTTTGGAACAAACAGAGGATTTCAGAGACTTGTCAAATAAACGTTATTTTTTCACTTAAGTTTATTGATTTTATACCAAATTGTATTGAAGTTTCTTGGCTGTATAAGGAGGTATATCAACAGTACGGAGGTTACACAACAGATGTTTAGCTATTAGCTTATATTAGTTCACATAGGGATCCATAGCTAGTTGCAGCGCACTGTTGTCAATTTTTCATTTAAGATTAGTATTCTCGCTAGTCTATTGACACAGCAGCTTTTCAGATTGTTATAGGTTCCATAGCGGAATAGCACAGTTTTTCATTACTAACAGGGACATGAGAAGCCTCAATTACCACTACAGCTGAGTCTAGCATTCCCAGCCTCTCAACCTAAATCACAGCCATACAGCTCCACACTAACTATCTCTGTGACCACTCTCCTTGCTACTGTCTGATCGTGCTACTTTCACAGTTGGCCATATAAACTCCCCTGTTTTTAACAACTATTGTGTGGGTACCATGGGGGAATTTATAATAGCAATTGCGAGTGTTGGAACTTGCATGGAATATAATTGATGCACTTTGTGCCAGATTTATGGTGCTAGTGTAATGTTCATACATAGTTACAAAGTATTTGAGGTTGAATAAAGACATTAGTCCATCAAGTCCAACCTAGGCATTTTTTGTTACTTTCTTTGTACTTTCTATAAAAAGTTGGCGCTTCTGAAGTTTAGGGTTCTAGTCCTTCCAGTACACTTCCCTTTTCTGTGTTCAATATTAAAAGTAATCACATTGTGATCACTATTACCCAATGACTCCCCAATTACAATATCCTCGATAACTCTGCATTATTAGTGACAATTAGATCTAAGATGGCATTTTTTCTGGTAGGAGTCTCCCATCTGGTCCATGAAATTGTCGCGCAACATGTTTAGAAATCGCCCCGCCTTTGCCGAATCTAATTCATAAATTAGGTTTAATAGATTACAGAAAAGAAGACTTGTAACTCCAGGCAAAAAGCTTAACTGTCGCTTCTTGAAGTGGCCATGGGGACTTCTTACGTTGTGATTTGTTTTCTTAGGTGATGGTTTAGTTTCAGACAGCCCCAGAACAAGTGCAGATGAAAACAGGTGCGAAAAACTAGTGCAAGCTCTGGTCAAAACAGGTGCAAATCATGTGCAGTTGGAAAAGTAGTGCAAGCTCAGGACAAGACAGGTTTGCACATTTTTTTTTTTTTAAATCTAAGAGGCTAAAACTGTTGAAGTTGCTTTGATAAATTCCCCCCCATGTATTTTGTTTTATCTCGCTTCACCGTACTGGGGGGTAATGAACTCAAAAGGATTTTACAGTAACTCGAAAAACCCTTTTTTTGTTTCTTTTACCATTTTTTTTCTTCCAGGACAGCAAAATTTCACCGATGTGTAAGTTTCCTTTTTTTGTGTGTGGTGTTTTGCCTTACAGTGCTTTTTTTTTTTAATTTTTACGTAGGCAGCATGTTTGGATGTACACTTGTCATTTAGTAAATCTTTTGCCTCCTGTTTTAGGCAGAAAAGCCGCTCTCACGTGCTGCCCTAGAAGATTCCTGGCAATTTAATTACCAGGTCGCTAACTCAGTTTCTAGGTTTAATGGCCGCTCCAACTGAAATTGGCTGACTGTTGTGTGTAATTTTACTTTAAACTGTTTGTTCACCTGTTTTTTTTTTTTTTTTTTCCCTCAGAAAAGGAAAAACATTAAGGTTCTTCACATGAAAACACAGACATCTGTGGCTCTGCCCCTCTACAATTCCCCTACTGACAATTTGAAAAATCTACAACTAATTCAGACTATGGACCGTAATGTAAGTATATTACTTGGCGTAGTTTTATAACGTCACCCAATCATTAAAGCTTAGATGTATTAAGATTTTTCCAGTATTGCTTTATATTGTTGCATTCAACTGTGGTATTAGTTGATCTTTAGGTTCCATGCTGTTTAGTAAATAGGGACAGGTTGTGTTTGTCATAAGGTCTAAATGAAAACACGAGTGAAATTATGACAGCTGAGTGGACATGCTCTTATAATCTCAGACAGGAGCATTATGTCAATTTTTAGTTTCAGGTATAACTTTTCGTGTGTACTACTTTCCACTCTTCCGTACTTTTGACTTTGCGGTGTTTCTTCACGACCAGAATGTCCCCAAATTGTCTTGTTTATTGTCCATTGAGATACGGTTCATGAATACGAAGCATTGTGTATGTTAGAAAATCCAGCCAAAGTGATCTGCAGGTTGCGCAGGCTATTCATCAACTTGCATGCATCCCATGTCAATACCGGGACTAGGGTGGTGGCGTCTCTCGACATAGAAAAAAAGCCTTCGACACAGTGGAGTGGTCCTATCTGTGGGCTATACTGGACAAAATGGGATTCCCCTTGGAGTTTACTCGTTGGATTAGACTGCTGTACCATAATCCTGTTGCCTCTCTAAAGCTAGGCAACAACCTGTCTAAACCTTTTTTCTATTTGGCAGGGTACTCGGCAGGGTTGTCCGCTGTCGCCCACTCTCTTCGCCCTGGCCATGGAACCCATAGCTGAAGCACTACGAATATCCCACTTTATTAAGGGGCTTCGAATTGGCCGGCTGGAGGAGAGGGTGGCGCTATATGCGGACGGCCTGCTCTTGTTCCTCAATGATCCGGGGCCCTCATTGCAGGTTGCTTTAGAAATATTAAATGCATTCTCTGCTGTATCAGGTCTCAAGGTCAATTGGCATAAATCTATACTATTCCCCATTGACGCGGGGGCTAGGTCTGTACCCAGGACCGTTACTCAATTATCCTGGGTGGACTCCTTCAAATGCCTGGGGGTGGTGGTTTCCAGATTACCGCAGGAATACCTTACATTGAATATACTTCCAATCCTGGGTGATATGAGAGAGAGGCTGAAGGCATGGGCGAACTGACATTCTCGCTCTCTCTCGACATTCTCTCTCTCTCTCGAC